CTCCAGCCTGTGTGACAAAGGGAGATGATGTCCTAAACAAACAAACAAAAACGTTGTTCAAAGGTAATATCTTACCTTTTACCAGGTGCAGAACTGGTTTAGATGGTCTCAAGGATGTTTCCTCCTCAGTGATTAATAATGAGTTACCAGCAAATGGCCTCTGAGATTCCAGAAGAGTTCCAAAAGTGCTTAGAGCAGTGGTGTATTGAAGGGATAAGTTTAAGTGAATACTTTTTTTTCCTTCAACTTTTAAGTTCCAGGGTACGTGTACAGGATGTGCAGGTTTGTTACATAGGTAAATGTGTGCCATGGTGGTTTGCTGCACACATCAAACTATCACCTGGGTATGAAGCCCGGCATCCATTAGCTTTCTTCCTGATGCTCTCCATCCCCTTGCACCTTTCCAACAGGCCCCAGTGTGGTGTTACCCACTATGTGTCCATGTGTTCTCATCATTCAGCTCCCTCTTGTGAGAACATGCGGTGTTTGGTTTTCTGTTTCTGCATTAGTTTGCTGAGGATAATGACTTCTAGCTCCATCCATGTTCCTGCAAAGGACATGATCTTGTTCATTTTATGGCTGCATAGTATTCCATAGTGTATATATACCACATTTTCTTTATTCAGTCTATCATTGATGGGGATACAGGTTGATTCTACGTCTTTGCTATTGTGAATAGTACTGCAGTGAACATATGTGTGCATGTATATTTATAATATGATTTATATTCCTTTGGGTATATACCCAGTAATGGGATTGCTGGGTCAAATGATATTTCTGCTTCTAGATCTTTGAGGAATCACAACACTGTCTTTTACAATGATTGAGTGTAAAGCATTTCTTTTTCTCCACAACCTTGCCAGCATCTGTTGTTTCTTGACTTCTTAATAATCACCATTCTGACTGGTGTGAGATAGTATCTTATTGTGGTTTTGATTTGCATTTCTCTAATGATCAGTGATGTGGAGCTTTTTTTCATGTTTGTTGGCACATGAATGTTTTATTTTGATAAGTGTCTATTCATGTCCTTTGCCTACTTTTTAATGGGGTCGTTTGTTTTTTCTTGTCAATTTGTTTGCATATTGTGGATTTTGCATATTAGACCTTTGTCAGATGGATATATTGCAGAAATTTTCTCCCATTCTGTAGGTTGTCTGTTCACTCTGATGATAGTTTTTGTTGTGCAGAAACTCTTTAGCTTAAATAGATTCCATTTGTCAATTTTTGCTTTTGTTGCAGTTGCTCTTGGCATTTTCATCATGAAATCGTTGCTCATGTCTGTGTCCTGAATTGTATTGCTTAGATTTTCTTGTAGGGTTTTTATAATTTTAGGTTTTACGTTTAAGTCTAATTCATCTTGAGTTAATTTTTGTATAAGGAAGGGGTCCAGTTTCAGTTTTCTGCATATGGCTAGCCAGTTCTCCCAGAACCATTTATTAAATAGGGAATTCTTTCATTGCTTGTTTTTGTCAGGTTTATCAAAGATCATATGCTTGTAGGTGTGCAGTCTTATTTCTGAGTTCTCTATTCTGTTCCATTGATCCATGTGTATGTCCTTGTACCAGTACCATCCTGTACTGGTTACTGTAACCTTGTAGTATAGGTTGAAGTTGGGTAGCATGATGCCTCTAGCTTTGTTCTTTTTGCTTAGGGTTGTCTTGGCTATTTGGGCTCTTTCTCATTTTTTTCTAATTCTGTGAAGATTGTCAGTGGTAGTTTTGTTACAGGATAAGGATCCTGTGATAAGGGTTTTCGCTTTGCCAGCCGGAAACCTCTATGGCTGGTAGCACCTTTGCCTGAGTTTTGCTCAGGCCCATTGTGCTTGCTTTGTCCACTCGACCCAGCAGGCTATGCTCAGCTTGTGCTACTGGCCTGGATCCCACGCCTGCCAAGGGCGAGCTAGGTGCAGGGTGGCGATGAGTGTGTGAGCAAGCACAGGGTCCGGCCACTGCGCACAGCCAGGAATGCCGGCTGCAGTGGGGTGGGCAGCTCTGGGTACTTGCACAGGCGCCCGCTTTGTACAAGACTGTGGCTCGACCAGACATACTGCAGGTGGCTTCCACTGCAGGCACTGTGGAATGCAATGGCACCTGGAGGCTTGGAGATACCAGGAACCACACAGCCCCAAAGCGAGTGTCACAGCTCTGGCTCACGGAGCCTGGAGGTCTGGGCTCTCCGAAGGGGTGCAGCTCTTCTCTCCTTTTCGTTGCCTGCAATGTAGTGAGTGGGGTGTGTGTTTCAGCCCTGTTTGTGTTTCAGCCCTGTTTGTGTTTCAGCCCTGTTTGTGTTTCAGCCCTGTTTGTGTTTCAGCCCTGTTTGTGTTACAGCTCTTTCAGTCCTGCCATTTGGTGGGTTCCGAGTTCTTGTTGCATGTTCAGGAAGAATGAGGTATGTAGACAACTGGAAGGTAAGCAAGGTAAAGAGGTGCGTTATTGAGAGACAGTATAGCTCTCAGGAGAACTGAAGTTGGTAACTCCTTTCTGCTGTCAGGTCATTCTGATGAGTGCAGCTGTCGCTAGAGAGGAGACCTGGAGTGGGTAGCTCCTTTTCACAGGCAGGTCATTCTGTTGAGTCTGCAGCCCTCAGCAGAGAGGAGAAATGGAGTGGCTAGCTTCTCCTGATGTCTGGGAGAGGACACCTGGAATGGGTAGCTCCTATCCACAGGCAGTTCATCCCATCATCTGCCTGAGTTTGGCTGAGTCTGGGGTTTTTATGGGCTTCAGAGGGGAGGAAATGTGTGCTGATTGGTCCTTGGGAGGCCCTGGGTAGGCCCAGAATAAAACATCGTAAATTCTCACTCCAGTCTGTGGAACAGGTAGCCCAGCCCCCAGGCTTCAGGTTGTCCTTAGCTTGAAGGTGAGGCTTCACCCGGCACCCATCCCATTTTGCCCATCTGCTCCCTGCCACCATTAACCTGCCATCTACTGTGTCCATGGCACCCAGGCTATTTGCATCATGGTGTACTTTCAGGCCTGTGCCAAGCTGTCCCCAGACCCATCTCGGCCTCCCTCCCATGCCCATTGATGCCCAAAGTCTGGCGGGGGCTGAGGTGGTAGGGGGCTGGCATGTCAGCACTACCCCAAACACATGCACACCCAGCTGGGTTGTGACAGCTTCTGGGCTCAGGCGCAACTTTGTTCCACAATTGGAGCAGGGGTCGGGAGCAGGGAGAGGCCAGGCAGCAGGAGCAGGCACTTTTGAGCCTGTGGTGTACAGGGGGCTTTTCAGACCCCTAAGAGTGCAGGGATTCCTGCGTCCACAGCTGCAGGTGGGTGGTTGCAGCTGCACCCAGGGAGTGCAGGGCTCCCACTCGGCCAACTCAGTAGGAGGCGTGGGCTCCTACCTGCCTCCAGTCCCCAAGAGCACAGGGATGTCCAGGTCTGGACAGCTGTGCCTGGGAAGTGCGGGCCCTCCACCCTGCCATCTCAGAAGGGGATGGGACTTTTCACCTGTTCCCTGCTCCCACCAGCTCCATGGAATACACAACCCTGGCCATGTCTCCCTTGCTGCAGCAGGCGTTTTTGCAGCAGCCACTCTAGACGGGTCACTGCTGCCATCAGTTTAACGAGAATAGCATTGAATCTATAAATTACTTTGGGCAGTATGGCCATTTTCACAAAATAGATTCTTCTATCCATGAGCATGGAATGTTTTTCCATTTGTGTGGTCTCTGATTTCCTTTAGCAGCGGTTTGTAGTTCTCCTTGAAGAGGTACTTCACTTCCCTTGTTAGCTGGAACACTTTCTTAAGGCGATCACTTAGAAGGGTCAGACTTAGGTAGTTGTACAGATTTTGGTACTTGGAACTAGTCTTTTACCTATGGTTGCACAGTATATGAGCATGTCTGCAACTGTTTGGTCAAATCAGTTAAGCCTTTCTCCCTACTTAAGGTATTGTACCATCTCTGTCTTTTTCAGTTCATTGTCCTATTTAGTGTTTTCCGTTGTTTCCTCTGCTTTTAGCTTTCCTGTTTTTTCTTTTTCAAGTCATTGATTTGGTGCCATTAATAGCAAGAGTTGATTTGAAGTTACTTATTCTAAATTCCTAGAAGTTACTTATTACTCTAAATTCCTATGCTTGTTGTTTTTATGTTGATGAATTAATCAGTCTTTCTCACTTCCTTTTTCCTTTTTAGTGGCCATGTCAGACTCATAAGAATTAGTTAATCTGTATGCGTTGTGGATGTCCTTAATACTTTCCTTTTATTTTAAGCATTAGTTTAAGTTTACTAAGGCTAGGGAGGAAGATAAGGTGGGCAATAACAGATAATCAGCACCATCTGTTTGGTGGCTGTTTTGTTTCTAGCTTAAATAGTTCACCCTATTTGTTTTAGCTCTCTAGTGTTTTGATCTGTGCAGAACTAAATCTTTCGTTTATTTCATTATTTCTAAAAGGCTTTAAATGGCTTTGGCCATTTTTTCTTATATACCATGGAAATTTCATTGGGCTCTATGGCCAAAGACATTGTGCAATACACTGATTTCCTATCTTTAAAATTAAGATCTTTTCTGTTTTAAATAATAAAAAAGATTTTCTACACAATTAAGTAAAGGCAATAGATAATATAACTTCTGTAAAATATTTATAGAACCAATTTTTGTTTATGTAAAACAGGTGGTCTTTTTTTTCTACTTTTTACCTTTATATAATGTTCTCTCTTAATTATCATTCTTGTATTTCTCAGTGGCATTTAATATGGCAAGATAGAATAACTGTCAATGTTTTAGTTGTTGCTAAGAACAAGGAAAAGCCAGAAGTAATTTCTCATGAAGCCTTTTCCTGACATGAGTATATGTTTATAGTTGAGAATGATATCTCAGGTAAGAATTATCAGTGTATATTTTTTCCAGTGTTATAGTAAATGGAAATTAGTAATTTGACATTAATTTTTAGGGGTTTTTGTTTTTGCTGTAGATATAATTTGGTTCTTGAGTATAGTTTATAGTATCTAAACCATTTTAAATTCCGTCTACTAACTGATTACTTCTATTTTTTAATAGTGAATTTATGGCAGAAGAAAGTAATGAAAAATTTTGGCAGTTTTTGGAAACTGTGCAAGAATTAGCAATTTATAAGCAAACAGGTAGGTGATGTGTAAAATTTAACTTGTAAGATTTGTATTTATGTACACATATTGTAATTTTTTTTTTAATGGTAATGCTTAAGTGTGAATACTTCACTGGGTTAGTAAATCTAACATTAAATTTGAAAATATGTTTTAATAGATACCATTCTAAGCATCTGTTTCCAAATATAAGGTTTTAATACTTTATTATAAGACACCTCTTATAATTAGTCATGTTTGGGTATTGCATTCTCATCAAGAATAAATCAGAATTGTTAGCTGGGCATGGTGGTGTGCATCTGTAGTAGCAGCTACTTCGAAGGCCCAAGGCCAGTGAATTGCTTGAGCCCAGGAGTCAGAGACTAGCCTGGGCAGTATAGCAAGACCCTGTTTCTAAAAAAGAAAAATAAAAAAATAAATAAATTGGCCAGGTGTGGTGGCTTACACCTGTAATCCCAGCATTTTGCGAGGCTGAGGCGGAGGATCACTTGACCCCAGGAGTTTGAGCTGTGTTCGTACCACTGCACTGCAACCTGAGTGACAGAGAGAGACCTTGTCTCCCCGCGCAAAAAATTGTTAAGATACAGTTATCTTTTTACCTAGAATTCTTTGAAATAATAATTTTGTGTCTAGTAATAGCACATTTTTTTCTTTTTTAAAAGTAGACTTAATTTGTTTTTAGAATAGTTAAAAGTTCATAGTAAAATTGGACAGAAAGTACAGATTTCCTATATGCCCCCTACCCCTACACATAAATAGCCTCCCTTGTTACCAACATCCCTCACTAGTGTGGTACATGTATATCTGTTGATGAACCTATCTTGACAGATCCTTATTACCCAAGGTCCATAGTTTGCATTAGGGTTCACTCTTGTTGTTATACATTCTATGAGTTTGGACAAATGTATACTGACATGTATATTGTGTTTTGATTGGCAGAATACTTTGACTCTTAACCCATTAAAGAAACTTTTAATACTTACCCTCAGAAAGGTAATTAATATGCTCTCATTTCACTATCTGTAAAATAGTAATTTCTGTTTTTATATGTATATGAGAATTTATACCTATATATACATATATCTTCCTCAGAATTAAAAAGTGTTTATTGTTTTTCTTAGGGTAGGTCAGTAGATTAAAGGTATTGAAATGAGATTTTAACAGCAGAGGCTAAGGGGTTAATTATTGTAAAGAAAATTTTATTATTTTCCTATCTCTGCAGGGACTAGAATAGATGACATGAATTTGGAATCCCTTAAGAGTAAAATCTTTAGCCATTTAGATGTAGAGAGATCTTCTGTTGGTGATTAAAATAGTTTATTATTTTGTTCCTGAGTGTCAATGTAAGATAAACTATAGTTTCAGATGTTTTAAATGCTCATTTACTGAAGCCTGTTTGGCTCAGGTAGCCTTGAGGTTCAGTGATTTTGTGATTTCACAAAGTAGATTTTAAAAATAAAGAGATCAGACATGCTTTTAATAACATTTTAAACTGAAATATTTCCAAAGCAAATAATTTTTCCTTTCAAAATTTTTTCCTGAAAAAATTATTTATATATAAGAAATGCTGGCGGTACTTTAGATGATGGGAATATAAAGATGAATAAATGTGATCTACATCCTCAGGACTTCATGATATAGTGAAGGAGACAGCAAAACAGTGATGTACACTATTAGGTGATAAGAGCTTTAATTGGGGTGTGCATAACATGAAAACACATAAAAGAGGAACCTAGTCAGTGTTTGAGAGAGAGCAAGACAGCATTTTCAGTGGTGAATGCTGGAGCTGAGTTTGAATGATGAGATTTAGTCAGGTAGTAGGGAGCACAAAACAAGTAGAAGAGACCGGGATGGAATGTGTGGAGGAACTCTCACCTAAAATCCTCAATATATCTGTCCCATATATGTTGTTCTCAGTACATGCTTTTTGGCCTTATTCAGTACTATTTTTTATTGGAGAAGCAATCTTAAAAATTACTCCTATAAATTTCAAATTCATTTTAAGTTACTTATATCAGCATATTTTCTACCTAAATGAAATGATATACCTGGACAATCTGGTGGCAGATCATTAACAAGTTGGAATATAAGCTCAGGAGTACCTAAACTCTACATCAAGCGTATATTGAAGGAGGTCAGGTGTTTTCAGGGTTGAACCTAAATTGTATTAAAGTAAGAATTACTGATGGGGCACAGTGGCTCACACCGGTAATCCCAGCACTTTGGAAGGCTGAGGTGGGCAGATCACTTGAGGCCAGGAGTTCGAGATCAGCCTGGTCAACACTGTGAAACCCCGTCTCTACTGAAAATACAAAAATTAGCTGGGCGTGGTGGTGCAGGCCTGTAATCCAGCTACTTGGGAGGCTGAGGCACAAAACTCACTTGAACCCTGGAGGTGTAGGCTGCAGTGAGCCGAGATCACACCTCTGGACTGTAGCCTGGGCAACAGAGTGAGACTCTGACTCAAAAAAAAAAAAAAATTACTAACTCTTAAAATGTAATTCTGTTGGCTTTATTTGTAATGGCAGAGTCTAATGCATGTGGTAATATTATTGCTGACCTTGTTAAGTGTGGAAAAGAATGGTACAAATGAGAAATATATTAATGAACAGATTTTACTGAATTTGTTTTCAAGATATCTTAGAGGAAACATTTAATAATCCTCTGTTACTTGTAATAATTTAGGTTGTTGAATCTCCATGAGACCTTCTAAATACTCTTTACTAAATAATAAGTCTTGGTGATCCACCCGCCCAAAAAAATTGTAAATATTGAACATTTAACTTTTTGAATTCAAGTACTAGTTTTATACCATTTAATGCAATCACTTCATATTATATGCCAGCAAATTAAGACTTTTTAAGTGTTGAATTGCCTGTTTAAAAAAATTTATGTGGTTCTGCCAGACTTATGTATTTATTGATGCTTCAAGATTCAACTGGCATATTAGTTAACCTACGTAGTTTTGTGAGGTGAGAAATGTCATTCAATATTTATCTGATTTCAAAATCTCTGTTTATTTTTACTTCTTCACATGCTGCTCAGCGTATAACAATGTCATTTTCAAAGTCCTTGAAGATTTTAGTGGTTTTTACACAAATAAAGCTGTTTTTGTATTTTATTAATGGAAGAAATTTTCAAAAAATGTTAAGACTTTCTAACGTAGTTACTTTTACCCAAGAACCAGATTTGGGGGAAGAATGTAATTGGAGTTTGGATGTGCCACATTTGAAATGCGTGTGAAATATCAAAATAGAAGTGTATCGATAAGCTGATATATGAGTAGAGATCTCGATTAAAAAAAAATTCTAGGATAAAGGGTAGGATTTCAGAGTGATCAACATGAAAAATGGTAATTTAAGTTATAGGGAGAAGGTACAGAATGAGAATAAAATAGTGCCCAATGGCAGAACCCTGAGAACAGCAATGTTTAAGGGAATCTGATAAGAAGAACAGCACACAATAGAGACTAAGGAAGACTACCTCTAGTGGTAGCTGAAATCCTGTAAAAATATGAGATCATGAAAACCAGGAGAATATTAAGTTGTAAGTGATTGATGTTATCAAATACTGCACCTACTACTTTTAACAATAGAGAAATTATTAGTGCCTTTGGTGAGAACCATTTCACTGGTATAGTAATCAAGACTTCAGTAAGTTAAGATGTGAGTAGAGCTTTATATATCTCTTTGTTATTTGGTCATCTAATTTCTGAGCTTCTTGTCAAATTGTCACAATCAGCAAATAACCCAGTCTCCACCCCCAAAATGTCCCCTTCCCGTAGAGCTACGTGCTGTTAAATCTTTTAAGACCTTTGACTATGAAGGGAATAAGATGAGTCAGTAGCTGGCTGTGGAAGCTGCTGTTTATTTTTTTTTTAATAAGAATGATTTTTGAATATTAGGTGCCGGTAGTCAAAAATTGAGTAAAAACTGAGGTTAAAGATAAAGGCAGAGAATATTGAAGGGGTATTTTTAGTTGGTGAGCATGGATTTAGTTATTTAACAAATCAGCCAACATAGCCCAATGCATCCATTTCATAATAGAGATGATCTTGCTTGTTATATCTAAATTATAAAAGTTTACTTTCTATAAACTCCTGAATCCTACATTCACTATTACATAAGGGGCAACCTTGATGGTGACCTTGACAAAATTTGGTATCTGTTGTCAGGCACTACTCACATTTCTTTTGACTTTTCTCTGCTTTCATGGTTGACCAATCCTTTGACTGATGTAGTCATATTTTAGATGTTATTACATTAATTTTTATTTTCTTGCTGTCCTTGTAAGTATAATGTATTTTTAAGAATATTTTTTAAAATAATATTTATTTTCTATTTTGTTTTTACTGTTGAATGCGAATCTTATTTGCATTATTTTTTGATTCTTGGAGGAAAACTCACCGTTTCTCCCAAGTTCTGAGAAATCATCTATAGTTTGTTAAAGAAGTAAGAGTGAAAGAGCCAATGCTTATTCTCATATGTCAATTGTTTAAAGTTGCTGGATTAGGAAAATATTGTTTAGAATGAAGAAACTTATTTATAATATCTATTAAATATTAAAGAAATTTATTGAATGCCTATTTTGTGTGCCAGGTGTAGAAATGTACAGTTGAAAAACTATGATAGAAAAGATGCTTTCCTTCATGGTTTATAGCTTAATAAGAGGCACCAAATTTAAACAATTATACAAATACTTTTAAATGACTTTTTTTGTGAATTGATCTAGAGATGATATAGAGCTCACAATCAGACTTTATGCTGCAATTTCTCCAATTATTTCTTGGTTATATAAAGTTTGCTCTCTGGTTGATGCCTCATGAATAACTCTTGGAGAAATAGCCCTCGAGTTCTTCACGTACTTAATTGTTCATGTGTGAATTCTAAACTTATGATTTTTAACTTTAGAGCCCCAGAGGTTTTTTTTTATTTTTGTTTTTTATTTAAACTAGAGAATGTTGCAATGCTGATCATTCTGTGTCTTTTTTTTGTTTTAGGGATGTAAGTTCATTACTCTTTTTAATTCTGGAAGGTTTTCTTGAATTATAGCTTTCTTTAATTATTCTGTTCCATTTACTTGATTTTTCTGCCTTAGGGTCTACAAATATACACATATTAATCTACTTTGCCTGACTTCTGTGTTTGTCATTTACTCTCAAGTCATTTTTCCCTTCTCTCCTTTTTATTTGTTTCACTTTTATCACTTTTCCTCTGTGTATTCTGTTTCTCCTGCTCTGTTTTCCATGGTGTCTGTTTACTCTTGTGCTCCTTCTAATTTAGTTTGTGTTTTCTAGTATTATTTTCTTTCTAGTTCTTATTTGTATTCTTTCAGAAAACTTCTCGTATCTCCCTCTTTTTTTGGTCATCTCATTTCTGAGCTTTTTGTCAAGAGCTGTGAAGGGGCTGGAATTTTTACCCTGTTTGCAAGCTAAAAACTTAGCTTGCCACAGTTTCAGGAATCAGATGGACAACATAAGATTCTTGGATCAGAGCTGAAAGACTATAACTGACCAGAGGAAATCTCCTGAGTGATTCATAGCTTCTTTATATCAGCCAGGACCTATCGAACTAAACTCTGAGACTTTTTATTGTCATCTTTGAAAGGATCTAATATTGGCAAGATGGACTATAGGAGGAATTTAGTCGTAAGATGCCACTGAGACATTGTTTGGGAGATATTTTTGAACTTATTTCCCTTGGCCTATAACCCTTTCTTCTTCTCTTCATTAATAGGCAGCAAAATTAAGATGACTCATTACCTGATTGACTGTACAGTTTTGTCAGAATGTCCATTGTTACTTCTCAAGCACTCTCCTCAAATGCTATTAATTGGACCATAGGACTGGGCCTTTTATTCTCCAGAAATCCACGTATCTTGTCAGCATTCCATTTTGTTGTCAGATCTGTCAAGTACTGTGAAGGGTCTGAGATGTTACCCTATTTGCAAAGATGACAGATTAGTTTCATGGATGCTGACAGAAGACCTGAGACCCCTGATTCAGAGACAGAAGGCTTTATTTCATATAACAAAAGCAATAACCACAGTGTCCACATATTTGCACTGGTTGCCTGAGCCTCAGTTCCCAGAGGACAACTTGGAGGGCCAGGTAACACCTGTATCCTGAATGGGTTGTGGTAAAGAGAGGAACTGAGGGTCAAGGACCCAGCACTTTTGGAGCAAATAGTAAACATTGTCACAATCAGCAAACAACTCAGTCTCCCAGCCAACCCCAAAATGTCTCCTTCCGGTCAGAACATCCTTTTCCTCCTCTCGGAAAGAGAGTATCTGGTGTTGCAACCTGGTTTAACCACATTCTTCTTGTTATCCCTCTCACATCAGATATCCACAGGGAACTGCTCTTCATCTACCCCAACTCTGTTCTTTTGTGGGAGAAATGTCCGTCACTTGATAACCCAGTGCCAGGACGTAGAGGAGAATACATTATCGGAGAATGTCTAGAGGCCAGCCTCTGTGGATGCCTGTACCGAATGGACTCCAGAGCTGCCCTATTAGTACCTTACCATCTCTGGCTGGCCCTGGAATGCATTACAGTTTTCTGACACAATGCAGTCGGTGATTATACCTAGAGAAGAGTAGAGAAAGGAAAGCGGCACAGATAGTTCTTCCCACCCCTGCTTATCCCCGTTAGTGCCACCAGGTCTTCTTCAGCTCTAAGCTGCACTTTTCTGCCTTCTCCCATTCAAGTGATCTCTGTCTCCCCAGGGGTGTTGGAGAATTTTAAATTAAATTCTAGGATCCCTCCTTCTCCTTTGTGTCTTTGAGATCTTTGAATAGGGTTTATAGTAGGCAACTTGTAGCTCAGGTTAGTTTGTTCAAGTTCCAGACAAGATGACATTTACTTTTGAAGACCTGGTTCAAATTTTGTCTCCTAAAAGTATTCTGGATACACTAATTATACTTGGCTATCGGCACTAAATCTCAGTAGAATTGATTCATACAGGTACTTTAAAATTCATTAACAATCATATTCTATAACTTTTCTGCTGTTCTTAATTTCCAACTTGTAGGTAGGACTTATATCTTATCCTTGTAATATAACCCCACAACTTTGGAGTAAGTTGGTCTGAAATGCTGGTGTTTCCAAATAGATTTTAATGGCAAGATTATTTTTACCTGGTCTCATGTTGATTACTTGGATATTACTGGAAGATCCAAAATGAAGTTGATTATAGAACTGAGATCTTGGTTTTTCCATTTTTCTCTAGCATTATCCATAACCAAACTTCAGGTATGATTATATGACATTAAGTTAGCTTTACAGTGGAAGATGTGCCAATGTGTAGTGTATAAAATACTAACATTATTTTCTTTTGACTTCTTTTTGTAGAATCAGATTATTCTTATTACAACTTAATCCTGAAGAAAGCTGGACAGTTTCTAGACAATTTACACATCAACCTCTTAAAGTTTGCTTTCTCTATAAGGGCATACTCCCCAGCTATTCAGATGTTTCAGCAGGTGTGTAAAAATATCCAAACTGTATTGGACAAAGAGGCATGCTAGCAATGTACATAGAGCTCTTTAATATGAACATCTTTAGTTCAAAATGATCTACAAGTTTATAGTTGGTTCCATAGCCTATCATTGATTATGTTATTGTTGTCATTTATTATAATGTAATTGAATATATTCTGTAATTTTTATAGTTATTTGGGATAAGGAAATTATGGGGACAAATCATTGAAATGAAGTATCATAAAAATTTTAATAGAATTTTTTCAATAACTTTGAAGCATGCCTTTCCTAGGATAAAGTTGATTTTATTAAAATATTTCTTAGATTCTGCATACATATAGATGTTTTTCACTTTAATTGGAGCAATAACTTAATAGTAGTTGATGAGTTACTTTAATCAAAGTAATGTGTGAGGGTTTTAAAATTGTTTTGTAATTATCAACTACTGTAGCTAAATATAATCTTTGAAATCTTAGATTGCAGCTGATGAGCCACCACCAGATGGTTGTAATGCATTTGTGGTTATCCATAAGAAGCACACCTGTAAAATTAATGAGATTAAAAAGCTGCTGAAGAAAGCTGCTTCAAGGTAAATTAATAATAGCCTATAATGAAAGAAGTGGTTATAAAGAGGACAGTTCAATAGCAGAAACTTCTTATAATAAAAAAATTTAATATTCTAAGACATCGTATATTCAAGAATGTGATTTGTATTGAAAACCTTAATATATCTGAGAATGTTTTGTCTTGATTAGCTTTTGATTTTAGCATATAAATTGTGCCAAAATAACATAAAATATATGAAATGTTTCATATAAGCATAACTTGTTTTTTGAAATAAACATGCAAAACTATGAATGTATTTGGTTTATATCTCTTTAAATATAAACTGAATATATACCTGGGGAATAAGAAAGTAATCAAAACAATAGATGCGGTTGCTTCCTATATACAAAACTTTTTTTTTTTTGCTTTTTTGAAAGTAATTAAGAAATGGCAAATTAGAAGTAAATTATTAATTTATTAGTGATTTTTTAGAGTAATACTGCCAGTATATTTTTATTGCCTGATTATAATTTAAAAATAAAGTAGTTTCATTAATTTTGAAAGAGCTCTATTAAACAGTAATATATATTTATGCATATTAATACTTCTCACTTGTTAAACCATTTCTAACGTTTTCTTATACTTGTATTGATTTTCATATACAAAAGGCTTCTATTTTTATGTAGCCGAATTTTCCTGTGAATGTGACTTCTATATTGTTTTTATACTAACAGTTTTTCCCGAACCTGATTGGAAGATTTTACTAATTATTTCTGTAGCTTTCTTAAAGTTTTTCCTTTTATTTTACATTAAACTTTTAATCTATCTGTAATTTATTTTCATCAAAAGGTAGAATCCAGCCAGATTTTTTTCCTCAGGTAGCTAGTCAATTGTATTCATTATATTTATGTTATGGTCTATTTCGTAGCTCTTTGTTCTGCTCCATTATGTATTTCTTATAGTAGTGTCATACTGTTTTAATATTTGCTGCTTTATTATCCAGTTTCTGACAGAGGATTTCTTCTTCATTGTGGCTCTTTTTCCTGCAGAATGCCTTAGCTCCTTGTGTTTGTTGATGTTTTTAAATTAACATTGGAATCCTTTTCCTCCCCAAGCTCCCGTTCCCCAAAAGCCTTGTTAGAATTATGTTAAAAGTGTTGGTTAATTTAAGAAAAATTCACATCTGTGTTGTATTGAATCTCTTATCAGATAACATGGTATGTTTCTCTGTTCATACCTGCTTTTAAAACTTAAAGGCAGAAATAATTGCTTTATTTTATCAATTATTTTTTCATTGATTGAGATGGATACAAGGTTTTTCTCATTGGACATACTAATGTATTACAAAATACTTTGAAATATTGTACCTTCTTTTCAGTTCTGAGGAAAACTACTGGTTATTAATTGTGTGAGATTATCTTAATTTGCTTTTGAATTAGATTGCTTTCATTTTGTTTTCATGTTTCTGCTTTAATAAATGAATAACTGTACATGTATTGAAATTATTTGACATCTTTAATTTTTATCAATCATTGTACTTTCATATAGTGACTTAGGCAGCCATGTTATTCTTATTCTGAATGAGTTAATATAGGAATTATCTATTCCTTTATGCCATTATTAGACTCACTATAAAATTGTTAACACTAGTGTATATTTTTTCCTTTCCTAGTGCATCTTTTAAAGGAAATTTTGTAATGTTTAAAATTTATTGTCATTGATTTCTGATGTCAAATTTTAAAATTATAGAAACTAATGTACCTTGAAGGTTACAAAAGAAATTAACATCAAACTATTAGGAAAGTCAATCTGCCACGGGCCCTGTGAGTCCTTGCATGTTCTTTCTTGGTCTGACCAGCAAAAAATGCCAGGTCCTGACCACTCTTTACCTGGGCCATTTCTCAGGGTTGTGTTTGCAGTGAGCACCCTTGAGGAATGAGGTAATGTTTGCCTTTGGGATTGGGGGCAGGGAGCAAGCATGTTTTATTGCTTACTATAAAACAGTGCTTCCCCAAGCCCAGTGTTCCTTAATGGAAACATATGCCAACTCTGTAGGATCCATCTAAGTCCATATTTTGTCACCCCCCGTGGGACTTTGGGGGCAAGCATAATAATGCTTATACTGCTTGCTCTATGTCATGAGCAATAAAGTCGTTTGTCTTTGACCCAGGAGTCTTATGTCTTCTATCAGAACCCATAAAAGAATAAAAGGCTAACTTATTAGTTTGTAAGTCAGGTAAAATCATACCTTAGATTTTTGCAGTTCTTGATAGTTTTGGAGACTGCTATGGGTGGGATGTTGACTGACACATAGCTTCTGGAAGAGGAAGTTCCTAAGGGCCCATGGGTCAAGAAGAAAAAGGGTCAACACTTAACATTTCTTCCCACTGCCCGCCTCTTTCTCCCTGTGCTCTTGGTGGGTGATAGCAGTCTCCTGATTGTGTTGTAGTCCAATACATGTTCCTTGATCTGTGCTCCTAAGGAAAAGGCACTCAAATTTGTCTGATTTAATGGATTATTGTTTTGGCTCTGATTATATAACTGGTATTGGTATTTTACATGCTTACACTATGAATGCTGTCAATGTTTGTGAAGCCCAGAGGGAAACTCTCATTCAGAGACTACCACACATAGACACTCCCAGGTGGCCCAGCAGAAACAAAGAATCAATCCCAGGAAGAGAAAGGACAATCACAACTTTATATAGACTTCATAGCTGCTGGACCACCCAGAGAGACTGTTTCCAAGTACAGTGGTGCCACCTGCCTGACTCAGCCACTTAGTACACACCCCTTTTTAAAATGAGCAGTTCTTAAGCTGCTGCTAAGCTCTTGTTGAAACTGAACGCCTGACCCATGGAGGCCTTGTGACTCTACCATATGACATTTACATTTTCACGTAGTTCAACTAGGAGTCAGTGTCTGGCAAGGTGAAAGGGACCCAACAAGCCTCTCTGCTCAAATGGAAATTATATATTCAAAAGCACAGCTTCTTGGCCCTAGCATGATACCAGGTATATGTGAAAAAGTGGCAGCTACTCTTTTGGGAGTGAACCCATTTCACTACCTGAAGTAAGGTCACTGGCTCAAAAGGGCGCTCAATTCACAGTGGTTTCCCTAAATGCCTGGGCCAGGCTGCTGGTATGTTTAACTAAGTTAACAGCTGGTGGGATCTTTGGACTGCCTCTGCTACCATTCCACCAGGCATAAGCCTTGTAAAACCAAAAGCCGAAGTGGTCACTCTACTCAGTGGGCAGAACTCAAGGCCGTCATCCTCTCCCTGAACAAAATCTGACCCCTTGATGAAATATAATACATTTATACTGACTCTTCTGCTGTTGCCAATGGCCTACCTGTCTGGTCTGCCACTTGGAAGACTACAGATGGGCAGATTAAAAATAGCACTCCTTGGGGCTTACACACTGCAAAAGTAATTTACACTTGCCCATCTGACAGTCTGGTGTACTCCTATAGATGTACATATTATAAACCCATTCCCTGATAAGTGTGAATAGAGACAAGCTGACTATGCCAAGACTGTGTGAAGCCCTGACTGCTCTTTACCATGGCCTTTTCTCAGGGTGTTTTCAGTAAGTGACTTTGAGGGATAAGTTAATGTTTCCCCATGGGACAAAGGACAGCTTACTTACTGCTTGTTATTAAATGATGGGTTTCCCACACTCAGTGTTCGTTAGATGTGATCCATACCCACTGCCTGTGTAGAATTCTTGTGGGTCCATCTTCTCCCTATGGGATGTGGGGCCATGGGGAACCCATGTAAACATACTAATGCTCATGTTGCTTGCTGTGCCACAAGTATCAAGTTCTTTGTTTCTGACTCAGAAGTTTCTGTCTGTTGCCATAATCCATGAAACAGTAAAAAGCTAACTTACTGGCTTGTAAGTAGGGTAAAACAATTCTGCAGCCTTACAGAAACATTCTCCCCGCCTCTCTCTGTATACAGGGTAAAGTTAATAATTTTTTTTTTCCTTTTGTGAACTTTAGGCATATACTCTTGGGTTTGTGACCTCTTATCAACATTGGTCAATGGTTTTTTCTTATTTAAGCATATAATTTGTTTTTACATAGGTTATTTATAGTAATACAAATATTTTAATTTTTTCCTCTCTGTAGGTATGTTTCTCCTTCCTAGATTTTCTTTAGTTTTCATTTTCTTTCAGTTTTTCCAGATTAGGTTTTTATCTTTTTCTAAAGAAATGACTGATAAATTTATTCTGCTTTTTAATTCTAACCTAATATGTTTTGCATTTATGTATTTTCTTCTGTCTGTGGTTGAGCTACACACTTGGTTTGTTTTTCTTTTTTTCAATTATAATATATTTAGGTCATCAAAGTTGCCTTTCTTTACTATGTGGTATTCTCATTGTCCCAATTTCTTAAAATTCTTCTTAATGGTAGTTTTATTTACTTGTTGAAAAGGGAGTACTGGGAGAAAGTTATACTCGTTTAGGGTGGTAATGATTGCTGTCACTTTCCCCCAGATATATAGCTCATATTTTATTTTGTTTTAATTTATTTTATTTTTCTGAGACAGAGTCTCGCTCTAGTGCCCAGGCTAGAGTGCAGTGGTACAGTCTCACTGCAACCTCTGCTTCCCAGGTTTGAGTTGTACTTCTGCCTCAGCCTCCTGAGTAGATGGGACTACAGGTGCAAACCACCATGCTCAGCTGATTTTTTGTATTTTTTGTAGAGACGGGGCCTTGCTGTGTTGCCCAGGCTGGACTCAAACTCCTGAGCTCAAGCAATCTGCCTGCCTCTGTCTCCCAGAGTGCTGGGATTACTGGCATGAGCTACCACTCTTGGCCTTCATTCACATTTTAATATTGTATCTATAAAGTTTCGGGGCAGATCCAGACCATAGATATTTTTGAACCATGGAGGTATGGGAGAGATGAAGAATCAGTTTACTCTTCTTTTTTTACTAGCACGTTCTTGTTTTAAGTGGTAAGGTTGACTGTCAGTTATGATTCTAAGTTGAACAGCATAGGTTTTATAGTAAGTAAACTTTACTCCCAATTTGTGATATAAAGTTATTGTTAGTTTGCAACTTCATTAAGAATTTTTCTCTTTCTGTGTCTTTGTAAATATTTTTGGAGATACTGTAAAATTTAGTGTCAGGGACTGCTCTCCAAATGCCACTTCAAATCAATATGACTGTCTTTTTTGTGGCTTTAAACTTTTGTCCCAAATGGAAAGCTGTATGTTTAAAGTTAAAAAAAAATCCTATATGGTCATTATAAAAGAGTTCATATACTTCAGAAAAATGAAAGTGGAAAGGGAAAATGGCCCATAATTCTGCTAACAGTTTAATATATATTATTTTTTAATGCATATATTTATATACAGATATATTTTAAAAAACATTTATTGTACTATAAAGGGTATCTTAGATCCTTCTCCCATTAAGTTATGTGTTCTTACATGTAAATAAAATTACTGGCATGTACCAATTTTATGTGTTAGGCTGTTTTTGTGTTACTATAAGGAAATACCTGAGGCTGGGTAATTTATTAAAAAAAGAGGTTTAGTTGGTTCATGGCTCTGCAAGCTGTACAAGCATAGCGCTAACATCTGCTTGGCTTCTGGTGAGTGCCTCAGGAACCTTACAGCCATGATGGAAGGTGAAGCTGGAACAGGCATGTCACATAGTGAGAGCAGAAGCAAGAGAGTAAGGGAGGCCCCTGCGAATTGCATTTCAACATGAGATTTGGGGGGGACAAATACCCAAACCATATCATTCTATTCCTAGTCCCCAAAATCTCATGTCCTTCTCACATTGGAAATTACAATAATTTCTTCCCCATGTCTTAACTCATTCTGACATCAAGTCCAATGTCCTCAGTGCCATCTGAGACTCATCTGCTTCCACTTATAAGCCTGTAAAATCAAAACAAGTTATTTACTTCCGAGATACAGAGATGGTGCAGGCATTGGGTAAATATTCCTGTTACCAAAGGGAGAAATTGGCCAAAAGAAAAGGGTAACAGGCCCCATGCAAGTCTGAAACACAGTAAGGCAGGCACTAAATCTTAAAGCTGTCATGTAATCCTTGACTCCATGTCCCACATCCTGACGTACATCCTGGTGGGCTCCCTAGGCCTTGGGCAGCTCCAGCCCTCTAACTTTGCAGGATGCAATCCATGTGGCTGCTGTCATGGGTTGGGGTTGAGTACCTCTGGGTTTTCCAGCCAGAGTCTGCAAGCTACTGGTGAATCTACCATCCTTGGGTCTGAAGGGTTGCAGCCCCCCCTCCACTAGCTTCACTAGGCAGTATCCAGGTGGGGACTCTGTGTGGGGGTTCTAACCCCACATTTCCTCTATGCACTGCCCTAGTAGAATATCTGTGGGGGCCTGGCCTGTGTAGCAGGCTCCTGCCTGGGCACTAGGCTTTTCCATACATCCTCTTAAATCTAGGTGGAGGCCTCCAAACCTCCTTCATGCTTGCCTTCTGAGCATCTGCAGATGTGAGACCATCTATAAACTGCCAGGGCTTATGGCTTGTGCCCTCTGGAGCTGTGATGTGAGCTTTACCTCCACCCCTTTGAGCTGAGGGTGGAACTGGAGCAGCTGGATGCAAGTTGCAGCCTGCTGGCATGGCACAGGGCAGTGAGCATTCTTTCCTTTTAGGCATCAGGGCGTATGAGGAGAGGGGCTGCCTCATATAGCTCTGAAATACCTTCCAGGCCTTTTCTTCACTGTCTTGGCTGTCAGCTCCTGGCTCCCTTTTAGTCACACAAATCTCTCTAGCAAGTGGTTGCCCAATAGCCCACTTAGATTCTTCCCCTGAAAATGGGCTTTTTCTTTTCTGGCTAGGGCTGCGAAATTTTCAAACTTATGTTCTGTTTCCCTCTTAAATATGAATTCCAACTTAAAGCCATTTCTTTGTTCCTGCCTCTGAGCATACATTGTTAGAAGCAACCAGGCAACTTCTTGAACACTTTGATGCTTTGAAATTTCTTCCACCAAATATCTTAAGTCACCCTTTAAGTTCAAACTTCCACAGATCCCTAGGGCAGAAGCACAATGCAGCCAAGTTATTTGCTGAGGCATAACAAGGGTGACCTTTACTCCAGTTCCCAAAAACTTGACCTGCCATGTAGTAGATGCTGAAAAATATTGAGTGAATGATACCATAATGAAATGAATAAATAAGTTTGATTATTCCACTCCTTGGGGTAGATATATAGGTAGTTTACACTAAACAATATGTAATTGAACTTCCTTGTACATACATCTTTGCACCGTTACCTTGATTATTTTCTTAAATTTCTGGAACTGAAATCTCTAGGTAAGTACATGTATATTAAAATGTATACTCCAGAATTGTCTTCTGGTTTTACACTCTACTTCTAAAATTTTTACCAATGCTAATTTGTATTAATTCTCTTTAACACCTTAGTCAATTCAGTAAATGAAAATTGCTACTTTTAAATATAATTATTTAATTTTTAAAGATTGTTTTCCTCTTATCCAGCCATCCTCTGTAAGTATAATTTTTCTACCTATGATATATCCAAGCCGTTCCTGAATTAATCATAAAAGAAAAATTTGAAAATTATGTTGTCTATAGGTACAGGAAGGAAGGTGCTGTTGATCACAGACTCAGCAAATGGTAGAGAGCCCTTACCTTTGTGTGTAAAGTCTCTTCCGTTTCCTCTAATTTTTCCTTTTATATTCAACCTCAAGATTTATATGCTAGCATAGTTTTATTGGCAGCCTTTCTAGTTTTCAACAGTAGTCAATTCTTTGAAGGAATAATTTCTCAGACTTACATTAAAATTTAAGATTCCTTATATAAATTACTAAATGTACTTCTGTGATACTGATTTGATAAAATCAGATTTATAAAATGATAATCCTGCTGCTATATAAGTGACATTTGAGTTCCAAGGTTTCAGTTAAAATTTATGAGAATAATTTTAATACTTTCGTGCAAGAATCTCTTTCACTTCTCTTTTCAAATGTGAAGTATGATTTTGTATCCTTTTAGCATTTATTAATAGCATCTCATGAAGAAAGAGCAAATTCAATGTCTCTTGTTTTGCACATTCATGTCTCTTCATCTGTTACAGAGAAGATCAGTAATGAAGTGAAATTCTATTTGGGGCTAAGATTCTATTGATTTTATACTTCAACTATCTAAACATTGACAGTAGTATTTTAAAAATCACATCTTGAATAGCAGTAATCAAATTAAAGTAGATAAATGTGTGAATATTTTATACTTGAATGAAAAGTTTATTTAAAAAGTGGAAGGGTATACATACTGTACAAGCCAAACTATAAACTAATATAAGGATGCTTGAATTATATAATTTTCTAGACTTTTAATAACATTTCTATATTGATGTTGAGTAATATCACAAATTCTAAGCCAAATAACTGTGGAAATCTCTCAAATTATTCTGTTAGTCAATAAGATTGAATGCTTGAATGATTTTGATTTAGAATATGTTGAGTCAGTAAGTAGTTAAGCTAGAATTGAATCAAATTCTGCCTGATGTCAAAACCTAGCTTTTTTTCCACCAACATGCTGTAGGAATGTTACTCATACCCTTTTTTCTTCTGTCCTTAACATCTGTTATCCAAAGGTAGTAACTGACTGAAAGATTGTAGAGATCAGAATTCACTAAATACAAGGTTATTTCTCAACATCCTTGTTACTCTGAACTTCCTTATCTCTTGGTTTGCTTTCTACCTGTATAAATTGCCAAAACATATGGGCTTTGGAATTCCATAAACAGGAGTTGAAATTCTGGCTTTCCGTTTGATCTTTTCCGGAATAGTTAACTTATCTGAACCTCAGAAACTTAAAAGTTTCAGTGATGGTAGCTGTCTTAATTTTTTTGTGAAATAGAATTTACTAATAAGTATAAAGAACCTAGCACGGTGCCTGGCAAATAAGAAATCAGTTAAAGTCTGTTTCTTGTAATAGTGCTAGACCATAAGAGTCCTGGTTTCTTTGCTTATACTTGGGGATTTGATGAGTACTTGTTCATACTAAGTACGGATAATCTTTGAATAAGGTAGTACTTTTGCTTTGTTCCTTGAATATTTGTACCTTGTTTTCAGGAAATACAAGCTGTAATGAAAAATTATAACCTTCTAATAGAATAAAATATAAATTTTATTTCACTGAAAATTGTGTTGCCATTATATGTTATTGCTTAAAGATAATAAACCTTGTTGGGAAATAAAGTATTTTTAATATTAGATTTGGGTTAACCAAATTCTTTATTTCTTTTCTGTCATTTAGTTCAAGTTGTGTGTACAAAGTCATCACAGGAAATTTAAATTCTTTTTCTGTGATTATGTATATTATGAATTGTTTGATAAGCAGCAGTTATACAGAATTGATATGCCATTGACTTTCAATTCTTTCAAAACTTTGTGTTTTGCTTTTATCTTAGGACTAGACCTTATCTATTTAAAGGAGATCATAAATTTCCCACAAACAAAGAGAACTTACCAGTGGTGATTCTCTATGCCGAAATGGGTACTAGAACATTTAGTGCATTTCACAAAGTATTGTCTGCAAAAGCTCAAAATGAGGAAATTCTGTATGTTCTTCGCCATTATATTCAGGTATGTGCTTGTTTTTTCCAAGGTTACTTTTGGCTGTAGAAAAAAACAGTTATTATGATAATTTTCTTACTAGATTTAAATAGTAATTTTCACCAGAATAGTTATCTTGTTTTAACTTAACAAATATGACTTTCATGTGGGAAAATATGTTGGGATTCTGTCTCTTCTGGGGGTATGATGTCTATAACTCTTTGCCTTATATCTGGCACAAATTTAAAACTTGGATAAAAAACAAAAACATACTTCAATAATGTGTATAATATTTGCTAAGAATTTGCAATGAAGAAATCTAATTTACTCAGTATACTGATAATATATACAGTATTAGATCAAAGTACAAAGCATGGTGTTGGAGTACTGTTAACTCTTTCTTTTGAGACCTGACTACTTTTCATTCAGGCATCTGGTATGTGCTGTATTGTTCCCCATTCTGTTAGCTTCCCATTGCTATGACACTATCACATTTTTCTGTTTTAATGATTTCATAGCACTTATTACTATATCTCAAGTTTAACACTTTCAGCACACATACATGCACACACACACACACACACACACACACACACACACACGTGCGTATGAATACAATGGCCATTAGAGGAAGGACTTCGCTTTTTTACTACTGTCTTCCCAACATGGAGTACTTTAATTTGCATTTCCCAAATTAAGATTTATATACTAATATCTAATGTAATTAAAACCTTACGAATATATTTGTAAATTGCCTGTCCATAGCCTTTGCCTATTTTTGAATTGGATTCTTTTTTTTTCTCATTGGTTTTTAGGTGTTTTTAATATATTTTGAATACTAATCTTCCATACTTTGCAGCATCTTCTCCTAATGCATTTCTGGTCTGGTATTTTTTAAAAAATTGTTTATGACATCTTTTACAAATATTACTTGTGATATAGTCAGATTTACTCAACTTTACCTTAATGATTTCCTTTATTGATGTTATAAGGACATTCTCTTGTAAGAGCTGAAGTTCTATTTTTTGTTTTGGTTTTTAATCCATCTGGAATTTATTTGAATATACTATGGGGTAGAGATATAATTCTGTTTTTTTCCATATGGAAAATTATTGGTCTTCACATACTTCATTGAACAGTCAAGTCTTTATTCTACTCCATCATATGCCAAATTTTTATATAGACATGTATGTATTTTTAGACTTTCCATTCTGTTGCAGTGATATGTATGTCTATTCTACACAAATATAACATTTTAATTGGTGTAGTTTAAAATATATTTTGATATCTGGTAGTACAGCTCTGCTTCTTAGTTTTTGTTTTTCTAAATACCTTGACTGTTCTTGCATGATATGTAGCCATGTTAATTTTAGAATTAGTTGGCCAGGTTCCATGAAACATGTTGTTGGGATTTCATATGGGAATGAATTGGACCTTTCTGATTAATTTTGAAGAGACTTTTTCTTCATATATATTGAGCTTTGCCTTCTATGAACATATTTTTATTTCACAATCTAGTCAGATGTCTTTTTGGAAAGTATCATCTGTGATGTACAATGTTGGTTTTCAACAATCACACAGAGTCATCTGTCAGTCACCTTAGTACCATCACATTCACATACAGATTCTTGTAGGAACATATGTTTTCAATTTACTTGGATAAATGCCTGGAAGTTCTATTGCTGAGTTGTATGGTAAGTCAATGTTTAACTTCATAATAAACTATAGCAAACTGTCTCTCAAAGTGACTGTACAATTTTTCATTCCCCTTAGCCAGGAAAGATAATTTCGCTGCTCTAAGTCCTAACCACCATTTGTTAATGTCAGTTTTTTTATTATAGCTGTTCTAGGTACACAGTGGTATCTCACTGTGGTTTTAATTTGCATTTCTCTAATGACTAATGAAGTTGTCTGACTTTTCATAAGTTTCTTTTTGGTGAACTTTTTTTGTTGAGTTTTCAGAGTTCTTTATATGTTCTAGATATAAGTCCTTTATGAGATACATGATTTACAAACATATTCTACGAGTTTGTGAATTACCTTGTCATTCTCTTAATGTGTTTTGCAGAGGAAGAGTTTTTAATTTTGATTAAGTCCAGTTCATCATCTTTTTTTTATAGATTATATTTTTCATATTATACCTAAAAACTCATCACCAATCTCAAGGTCATGCAGATTTTATTCTAGGCATTTTATAGTTTTATGTTTACACATAGGTTTATGATCCATTTGAGTTAAGATTTGTACAACTTGTGAGATAGATGTTGAGATTTATTTTTCTGCATATGGATATCCAGTTGTTTCAACATTTGTTTAAAAGACTATCCTCCTCCATTGAGTTTCGTTTATCCACTTGTAAAATGTAAATGACCCTATTTGTATGGGTCTATTTCTGGCTTTGCTTTTCTGTGCTATTAATCTATCTGTCTCTCCTAACATCAATACTACACTGCTTGATTACTCTAGCTTTATAGCCTTGAGATCAGGTTGTGTTAGTCTTCCAGCTTTGTTATTCTTTTTCAGAATTGTTTTAGCTAATCTAATTCCTTTGTCTCTTCCTGTGAACTTTCAAATCAGCTTGTCTGTATCTACAAAAAATCTTGCTGGCATTTTGATTGAGATTACAATCAACATATAAATTAAATTTGTGAGAGAACATCTTAAAAATATTCAGTCTTCCAGTTGATGAAAATTATATTTCTTGATTTATTTAGACAGCCTTTGATTTCTTTCATCAGTGTTTTTCTTCTTTTTCAACCTACATGCCATTTATCTTTTTTAACCTTAATGATTAGGACTTCTAGTCAGTGTTGAATGGGAAGTGGTGAGGGATGATATCCTTGCCTTTTTCCTGATTTGGGGAGAAAGCGTTTGGTCCTCCACTGTTAACTATTATATTAGAGGCAGGGTTTATTTTTAATTTTTTAAGTTCTGGGATACATGTGCAGGATGTGCAGGTTTGTTACATAGGCAAATGTGTGCCGTGGTGGTTTGCTGCACCTATCAACCTATCACCTAGGAATTAAGCCCAGCATGCACTGTGTAGTATTTTATGGTGCATGTGTACCACATTTTCTTTATCCAGTTTACTGTTGATGGGCATTCAGGTTGATTTCCATGTCTTTGCTTTGTGAAAAGTGTTGCAGTGAACATATGCATGCATGTGTGTTTATGGTGGAGCAATTTATATTCTTTTGGGTATATACCCAGTAATGGGATTGCTGGGTCGAATGGTAGTTCTATTTCAGGTTCTTTGAGGATTGCCATACTATTTTAAATGAACTGGTTTACAGTACCACCGGCAGTGTATGTGCATTCACTATTTTCTGCAGCCTCACCAGAATCTGTTATTTTTTGACTTTTTAATAGTAGCCATTCTGACTGATACAAGGTGGTATCTCATTGCGGTTTTGATTTGCATTTCTCTAATGATTAGTAATATTGAGCATATTTTCATATGCTTTTTGGCCACAGCATATGTCTTCTTTTGAAAAGTGTTCATGTCCTTTGCTCACTTTATTTATTTATTTATTTATTTATTTATTTTAGACAGAGTGTTGCTCTTTCACCAGGCTGGAGTGCAGTGGCGTGATCTCAGCTCACTGCAACCTCTGCCTCCTGGGTTCAAGCAATTCTCCTGCCTCAGCCTCCCAAGTAGCTGGGATTATGGGCATCCACCAACATACCCAGCTGCTTTTTGTATTTTTAGTGGAGACGGGATTTCACCATTTTGATCAGGATGGTCTCAATCTCTTGACCTCATGATCCACCCACCTCAGCCTCCCAAAGTGCTGGGATTATAGGCGTGAGCCACTGCGCCCAGCCTTTGCTCACTTTTTAATGAGGCCATTTATTTTTTGCTTGTAAATTTAAGTTCCTTGTAGATTCTGGATTTTAAACCTTTGTCAGAAACATAGTTTGCAAATATTTTCTCCTATTATGTAGGTTGCCTGTTTACTCTGTTGATAATTTCTTTTGCTGTGCAGAAGCTCTTTAGTTTAATTAGGTCCCATTTGTCAATTTTTGTTTTTGTTGCAATTGCTTTTGGTGTCTTCGTCATGAAATCTTTGTCAGGGACCATGTCCAGAATGGTATTTCCTAGTTTATCTTCTGAGGGTTTTTATAGTTTTATGCTTTACATCAAGTCTTTAATCCATTTTGAGTTGATTTTTTATATGGCATAATGAAGGAGCCCAGTTTCAGTCTTCTGCATATGGCTAGCCAGTTTTCCCAGCACCATTTATTGAACAGGGAGTTCTTTCCCCATTGCTTGCTTTTGTCAGCTTTGTCAGAGATCAGATGGCTGCAGGTGTGCGGCATTATTTCTGGGCTCTCTATTCTGTTCTATTGCTCTGCATGTCTGTTTTTATGCCAGTACCATGGTGTTTTGGTTACTGTAACCTTCAGCTTTGTTCTTTTTGCTTAGGTTTACCTTGACTATTTGGGCTTATTTTTGTTCCATATGAAATTTAAAATAGCTTTCTTTAATTCTGTGAAGAATGTCTTTGGTAGTTTGATGGGAATAGCCTTGAATCTGTAAATTGTTTTGACAGTGTGACTATTTTAACAATATTGATTTTTCCAATCCGTGAGCCTGGAATGTTTTTCCATTTGTTTGTGTCATCTCTGATTTCCTTGAGCAGTGTTTTGTATTAATAATTCTCATTTTAGAGATTCACCTCCCTGGTTGGTTGTGGTCATTAGTATTTTATTTTTGTGGCAATTGTAAATGGGATTACATTCCTGATTTGGCTGTCAGTTTGGATGTTGTTTCTGTATAAAAATGCTAGTGATTTTTGTACATTGATTTTGTATCCTGAAACTTTGCTGAAGTTGTTTATCAGATCAAGGAGCTTTTGTGCAGACTATGGGATTGTCTAGATACAGAATCATGTTGTCTGCAAACAGGTATAGTTTGTTTGCTTCCTCTTTTCCTATTTGGATGCCTTTTATTTCTTTCTGTTGCCTGGTTGCTCTGGCCAGGACTTTCAGGACTATGTTGAATAGGAGTAGTGATAAAGGGTATGTTTAAATCCCTTATGTATTCTGATTATTAATTGCTT